ACGGGCGACCGCTGATCTCCTACGGACACGATCTAACTCGCGAGCTCAACAACGTCGGCTTCAACCTTGACAGGCAAGCAGTCGGCGTTGGCGTCTCGACGAGCTGGGGCAAGACCACACAAGACAAGGCGTCCTGGCGCAAACTGTCGAGACTACCGGGCGTGAAACCCATCCTCAAGAAAACCAGAACGAAATCGCCTTCTCGCAGCTCTGTCGGCGCTTTGGTACCACCGCAAGGATACGCTAGAGCTCAACAGAGCGACGCCCAGACGCTGACACCCGGGGCCTCCTGGACGCAGAGACTGCGCCCCGGGCGGTAGAAGGGGCATCATAACATAACATAATATAACAGTAATAGCTTGGGAACACGACAAACAGCAACCAGCAGATCATCTCCCTAAACGCCCTTGCCCGGGCACACTACCGGAGATCCATCGGCACGCGCGGTGGCGCCCAAGCCAGCGCAGCCGACTAAGGCACGCAGCAGGCAATGGGCGACGCAGCGCTCAGACCAGCACAACATTCAGAACAGTCAGACGCCAGCTTGAATCCCTATCAGTAAATATAACAGTAATACATAGAGAGAACAGTCAGACGCCAGCTTGAGTCCCTATCATAAATATAGAGAGACACAGTCTCAGTAGAGTATCGTATCATAAAATTAATTTGACTTACAAAGTAGTTACTCCACAGCTATATTGACTGATAGGGATTCAAGCTGGCGTCTGACTGTTCTGAATGTTTTGCTGGTCTGAGCGCTGCGTCGCCCATTGCCACAGCTATATATTAATTAAAGTAATCATGTATATTACTGATGATCGGGGATTCAAGCTGGTGCCCGTAGGACTGTCCTGGAAGTTGTGCTGATCTGAGCGCTGCGTCGCCTATTGCCTACCGCGTGCCTTAGTAACTTCTTAGTCGGCTGCGCTGGCTTGGGACTGTCTTGGGTGCCACCGCGCGAGCCGATTATATTATTAGCGGCTCAGCATAATGGTTCAACAGGTGGTGATCATAATGCTTCAAATACATTTGATCAAGCTTGTCACGAGAATACCACCTTGTCAGAGAATGTGCCCCACGCACTGAGGGCTGCTCGCTGACGCCTGCGCCGGCTGCGCGCCATGCTCGCGCGCCGACTTCAATCAAAAACAACGATGGCCCATCCGTGACCACCGCGGCTACCCGTCTTCAGCGTGACCTGGACGTCGTCGAGGACGTCTAGGTTTCGGACGATTCCCAACAATGAGCTCCTGGCTCTTGTGCGCTCCTCTGCTGGCGCTGGCGCAGTTCCGCGAGCCATGGCCGGTGGTGCTCCGCCCAACGCATGAGTGCTGGCCATCGGCCGTCGATGGCCCCTCCTACGACCTCGTTCTCGACATCGCCGTCGGCGGCAGCGCACTGCGCCTAGGGGCGCTCCGCGAGACTTGGGCAGGCCCCGCTGTGCGAGACGGCATGGCGTGCTCCGTGATTAACCTCTTCGTGCACGCCGCGCCTGCGGCGGCGGTGCACCATCGCCGGGTAGCGGACGAGGTGCGCGCTTGCGAACCCGGGTGCGCCTGGGAGGGAGTTGTGCAGCGCGCCTCCCCATCTCACCTCGCCCCCCGCGTTTGCCCCACAGGTGTTCCTGTTCCTGAACACAACTGACACGTACGAGCGGTTGCCGGTGAAGGTGCTCGGGAGCCTGCAGTGGCTCTCGGCCCACGTGCATTTCAAGTACGTGCTCAAAACGGACGACGACGCGTGGATTTGCACGCACAGCCTCCTCGAGACACTCGCCGCCTTCCCGCGCTCGCGGCTCTACTGGGCCAAGATGAACACCCGGCACGCGCTCATTTCGGGCGTGGTGCACCGAGCGTCGAGCGGCTCGTTTGTGCACTCGGCGTTCACCGACTACTTCCGCGGGGCAACGCACTACAGCACCTACGCGTTCGGAGCGGCATATGTCTTGTCGCACGACGTCGCCGCGATGATGGGGAGGCTCGTTGTGGCGGTACGCCCACAACTCACAGAGACGAGCCGTGTACCGAACACTTGGGTCCGTTCGAGAGGCTATTTCCGCTTGAAGCGATAATTGACTTTTTGATTTTACCCGGATATTCATTCCATCAAGATTAGATGCTTGTAGAACTCTGAGGAGCTCCCTAGACGTAGAATTTGTTCTCAGATGTTACAGTTTGGATGTTACAGTCAGTATAAACTTAGCTTATTGTCCTAGGCCAACGCCCAGTCGAGACCTGCGCTCATCCAACCTGCCGCGCCTCCCCGCTGCCACGTTCTGATAGTGGAGAGGACGATGCCTCCGTGCGCAGCGGCTCGTCTCGAGAGCAGAGTGCGCACCCTCCACCGCGAGATAAGCGACGTATGCGCCCAGCCCACCCGGACCGGTGCCCGCGCGCCCAAGCGTGCCAGGAAGGCATCGGCGCGGCGCCCAGGGACGCGAAGATCAATCTAGAACCGCCACTAAAGCTGCCCTGGCCGCGATGCCGAGCGTAACCGGGGGCTTCCCGCGCGGCCCCCCCGCCTCGCCGAAATAGCCGGCGATGGCGCATCGATGGCCCTTTCGACAGCCTCACCCCATGCGCCTCGGGAAGGCGTCGGCCGCGGAGGAAAGGACTGCGCCGGCATCGGTGTGTACCGGCGGGCAGCCCCAGCATCAAGTGCCATGACCCGTGCAGCCTCTCCTAGCTGCGCCGCGCGATGGTCGCGGAAGACCCCCGCCGGAATCCGTAGTCGGGACAGTCAAGATTCTTACACTAGAAGGAAAGGATTTCTAATTAGGCTAGCATCACCATCCTCCCTTCAGCGCGTTTCAAGTACTCCAGCGTTCCGGTAGAGAGGCCATTAATACAAACGAGACGCCGTTTACCAGCATACCAAGCGGGTAGGAGAGGGTCGAGATAGTCGGATCCCAACGGGGCCCATACCCACATACCAGGATGTGGGCAATCTCCGCGAAATCTGTATGACTCTGCCCTCAAACAATTCCCCTAATCGCCTGCACATCAAGCGCGACAAGTTCCGCAATATGGGGCCAAGTTGGGACGAGGTGCAAGTCTTTTAGCGCCCACTCGATGAGCAGGGCGTGGACGCGGCCAAGCACGTGCAGATCGAGGACGTGCTGGTCGGCAAGCTCATCAACCGAAGGCTTCGAGGCGTGGATTCCACGCGCGACGCGCGCAACAGCACCACCTCGCTCGGGTACGGACGTTCACCTAAAAATTTAAAAACACCGCGCAAGGGCGACAGCAGCACGCGCAGCCGTGGTACCAAGATGTATCTGCGCAAGCTCTGCATGTCTTCTAACGACGACAGGGGCTCTATTGTTGTGCACAATATTTTTCCTGCGCAGGTGCGAATGTGCGCGAGGTTCGCAGCGCCCAGGCTGTGCGCGTGCGATGGACGGCGAGGCGTCTGCGCGGGTGCGCTGCCCGGGGTCTCTAGTTAAATAGTTTGTTAGTTATAGTTAGACTCTTACGATTCGCCCTCGTGGTGCACTGCGGCACAGTGAACCCGACCAACGACACCGTCGCCTACCAGTATCACCCGCGACAGGAGTCGCGGTCGTGGCGTGAAGCCGCGTAAGCTCACCACATGGGCGATCACTGGCTGAGCTCATCCATACACTGGATTCGCCTGACTGCTGCTTCTGCCTGTCTTCCCCTTAAGTGAGTTAAGTCGGAGTTTAAAAAAGGTCTGATCGACCAGTTGAGGCGATGTTCTACGGCCCGACCCGCCGGCCGGTTAGTCTCCAACAACGCCACTCTCTATCCCAGACTCAAGATCGACGACGCGCTCGGCATCGTCACGTCCGCCTACCGGTTTCGGTAACTCGGCTCAAGCTTTTCCTCCTCCCTAACAGAATATATGTAATATATATATATATATATATATATATATATATATATATAGTAATTTTTCAAAATCCCAAATATCGGAAGCGCACACTGGCCATATATATATAGCGGCTCAGCATGGTTCAACAGGTGTTGTTCACTCACTGACTTGGTCGATGTCAGACGTTAGTCCTGGCAGCAGGGATGGTGGTGGTAGAGGTGAGGTTGATAGTGAACTCGTAGCAATTGCCACAGGTCCCCCCCCCTCTCCCCCCCCACACACACAACGCTCACGTCCAATTAGGTGCGTGTGCCCTGTCCGCCGCGGCCGCCGCGGCCGCCGCGGCTGAGGCGTGCGCCCCGGTCGGCATTGTGGCTGCGCCAGTTGTCGTCACGTTACGCGCCGTCCGCGTGCACAGGGGCGTCCTCGGGCCCGTTTGCCGAGCGGCCGGTGCGCTGGAACCAAGGTGCACCCCGGGCACTAGCCGCCGCGCGCGCAGTCTGCATGTGCAGCGAGCGCGCGCAGGCAAGGATAAGCCTGGCGTGGCCGCGCGCCACGATCACTCCGAGCTCCTTGCGCATGAGCCCGAGAAGCGTATTGTGCGCCTGCATCGTCGTCGGTGCGCTGAGCCAGAATATGTACAGATGATGAGGAGATCGAGCACAGGAATCAGGATCCGATCTGCAGCTGCTGCCTGTGGTCGGCGCTGTCTGCGGAGGTAGCAACTGTGACGTTTTCACCCAAATAAACCACGGCTCCGGACGACGAGCAGCTGACGACGAGTCACTTCAAGAAACCCAAAACGAAATCGCCTACTCGGAGCTCTGTCGCGCTTTGATACCACCGCAAGGTGACGCTAGAGCTCAGCGATGCTGCAACCCAGGGCCTCCTGGGTGCCGTAGAAGGGGCATAACCCTGGTCCAACAACCCGTGCCACACAGGTCTGCACCCGAATATATTCGGCACGTACTTAAAAAAGTAGAAATCAATGCAACTATATACTTTATATGAATAAACTATATGTATGGGGGGTTTCTTCCTAGTGGTAGAAGAGGCATCCCGCATCATAACATCGCATAACAACAACTATTAGGATGTGACACCTATGAAAAAAAAACCGGTTGTAAATTATAGATACCTCATTTTGATCGTGGTGAGCACGTAGAGGGCCCATAGCTCACTCGGTAGAGCGCCCGATCTGCATTCGGGAGGTACGGGGTTCGAAACCCTGTGGGTCCATTTTTACCCGCTTGTAGTTCCATCTTTTGCCCGCCTTCCGAGTGTGTCAGTGTTCACGTCATTGGCCCAGTGAGTACTGTACACGTGCTGTATCCTGTTTCGCCCCTCCTCGGTGCGTCGTACTGTACGCTGTTCAGCCAATCCTCAGCGATCAATCCGGGTTCAGTGAGTGCCAGCGATGGAGGGAGTCGGATGCCCGCGCGCGCGTCGAACAATGAGACTATGCCAGTCAGCTCTACATAGTGTGAGGGCTGGTCGAGCCAAATGTACGTTCACAAATAGTTAGTTAGCGTCCGCTGAAGTTTTAAATTGCGTCGTGCGATGGGAGCCACCCACGGCACTGTCTCGGATTGCGGAGCTCCAAGAGGCGTGCCACGATGGGGACGCGGGCCTGGTGCGCAAATTGCCCGCGGTCGGTGCCGACGTGGGACACGTCGATGCGCACGGCAACACTCCGCTGATGATAACGGTCGAAAGAGGCCACACCGGTTGCATGTGCCTCCTGCTCGATGCCGGCGCCGACGTGCATCACGCCGATCCATCCGGCCACACTGCGCTGATGCTGGCGAGCGTCGTGGGACATGCTGAGTGCACGCGCCTCCTGATCGAGGCGGGCGCCAACGTGAACTTCACCGATGCGGGGGGCTCAACTGCGCTGATGGGCGCGAGTGAACAAGGCAACGCCGAATGCGCGCGCCTCCTGCTCGAGGCCAGCGCCGATGTGAACCACGCCAATCAGTCCAGCCTTACTGCGCTGATGGTGGCAATATCCTTCAGGCACATCGAGTGCGCGCGCCTCCTGCTCGAGGCGGGCGCCGACGTCCTGGCGACAGACACTGCAGGGGGTACAGCCTTATTGTATGGTAGCGCCCGGCTCGCGGTGATGCAGCTGCTCTGCGCCTACGGTGCATATCGCGAGGCGCTCGCCCCGGTCGCGCCCGCCAAATGCCGCGCGTGGGTTCTCGAGACGAGCCGCTGGAGCACGCAGCTACACCACCTCGAGCTCCTCCCGCCGGCGCGCGTGCGCCAGCTCCGCGTGGGTGGGGCGGACGTGCGCGCGAGCAACAGCAGCGGCGACGAAGCGCCCACGCCGCTCGGGTTCGCGCGCGCGCTGCTCGCGCGCGACCCAGCGCACGAGGGCGCTTCTCTGGTGGTGGCGGCGGCGGCCCCGTGGTCGCGCGAGAACCACGCGATCTTCTCCGCGCACGTGCGCGCGCGCGCGGCCGAGCTGCTGCGGCTCGGCCAGCTGCTCGTCCGGGAGGCGCGCTCCGCGGGCGAGGAGGTCGCGCTGCTCGACGTGTGGCCGCTCGTGATGGCGCACGCGCTCAGCCGCAGCATGCCGCCCAGCTGATTCCTGCACTCGCCCTCGCCGGGCTCAGCGCCACGATCACCTCGCGAGCGCAGGCGGGCGGCGACGGGCGCGAGGGCGCCGTCACTGTCGTCTCCGGTGAATCATGGGAGTTGGTCGAGCTCCGAGTTGGACGACGGCGGGCACGTCTCCAATGTGCCCACCCCATCACGTGAGGTCAGCTGTGTCAGAGAAACCTGTCAGAGATGGCGGAGAGTTACGCAACATCGTTGTGATTTGTGAACCGTTGACGTTGTAACTATATATATAGCGGCTTAGCATGGTTCAACAGGTGTTGTTCACTCACTGACTTGGTCGACGTCAAACGTTAGTCCTGGCAGCAGGGATTGTGGTGGTAGAGGTGAGGTTAGTGGTGAACTCGTAGCAATTGCCACAGGTTCCCCCCCCTCTTGACGTTGTAACTTGTATTGACTGATAGGGATTCAAGCTGGCGTCTGACTGTTCTGAATGTTTTGCTGGTCTGAGCGCTGCGTCGCCCATTGCCTGCTGCGTGCCTTAGTCGGCTGCGCTGGCTTGGGCGCCACCGCGCCTTATATTAATGTAGGACAGTTCTGGCTTGCAGTGTGGCGAATCAAGCTGATCTTAGCGCT